GAGTCAGGAGGCCACTTCCGCACTCACACAAGGCTGCCAGGGGAGGCTGAGGAGAAACAGCACCCCCCAAGGGCAAGTTCACAGTCCTTGCGCCCTTCCTCCTCCCCAGGAGCAGGACTCCCGGCTGCTTCCGCCTGGCACCAGCAACAGCTGCCGTCTATCAGCCTTCAAATTCCTACCAAATCACCTGCTTCCAACTCCTCAAACAGACGCGGCTCGCTCAGCCCGGTTAAGACCAAATTAGAGAGGCTTGCTGTGCTCCATGGGACTCCACCAGAGCGCAGGGAGCCAGGCAGAGGGCAAGAGGATCAGGCCACCAAAGGTCACCTACTTACAAGCCCGGACTAGCAATGTCATCATGGAGGAGGTGGATGGGCATTTTTTTAAGGCCACCCCCGGCTCGGGACACACTCTAGTCGTTTCTAAGCCTGTGGGCCACTGGGGAGAGCTGGAAGGAGCCAGGGACAGCCCTACGGAGTGCCACCATGCCTTGGAAACACCTCATGGGTCTGGGCTGCAGGTGACCATCCACAGTCCCAGCCCCTGCACAGGGATTGCTCAAGGTCCTTATGGGGTCCCAACGCTCAGGCGCCCGGACAGGCCGTTCCACGGAGGCGGGTCAGGTAGAAGCCATCCTCAGGACGCTCTTACAGGCCTCTTCACACCTGTGCTCAAAGGACTCAGCAAAAGATCTCCTCCCAGCCTGATGTGATGGCAAAATTTCATACCCAAGACCAGGGCTACTTAAATAATAGGAGCTGTGCAATGGAAAGCTACAAGGTCACTAAAAGAAGCAGGGCACGCTGGTGAGCAGCCGAGAATGGTCGCTGAGATCCGTTACAGTTCTGCAGTAGGACTCAGGAACGTGCTTGCCTGTGTGTAGCAGGCTGTCATGGGGCATGTGGTCCCAGCTGAGGCCCCCACCCTGAGAGCAATAAAGCTGTCCCACGTCCTACAGATGCTGGGCATGGAATCCCTCTTATGCGCGAGAGTAGATTGTCTGTGAGATCTTAACAGGAGCTATCCCATCCAGGCAGACTTGCCAAGAGGTCCCACAGCCACTTGGAGCCCTTCTAGAAGGGTGAGTTTGATCAGGGCACTGGCGAGGGAGGAGACCTTGTCGAAGAACTTTGGGGACAGTTAGACAGGAGCTTTGGGGTGTCAGCCTTGCTCCTACCGGGGGGAGTGCAGAAGGGAGCTTCCCGCCTACCTCTCCTCACTCTTCCCCCACCTCAAGCCAGAGCAGAGGCAGAGAGGAGAGCCTCGAGGGCCCTGCCCTGGAGTTGGGTGCAAGGACTGGACCTCGCCCTGAGTGGAAGAGGCAGGCTGGCCTGTGGGGCTGCGGGAGAACAGCAGAGTTGCTCAGCAGGACAAAGGACACGCTGCGGAAGGGATCTGAGTTCAGGTCATCTTGACCAGCGCCCTCTGCCCGGCCCATAGTGAGGCAAAACACTAAACACTGCATCAAAGTGTGGGAAGGAAACAGGCTGTTTGGTTCTTGGCTAGAGCCCTGCCAGCTGTCTCCTGCCCTCAAAGTATAGCGTACACTGTGGACGCAGTGATCCCTCTGTCTGGCCCTTCTATGTGAAATCCCCTTCCCAGCCAGCCAGACCTCCCACCTGCACTCCTGGCCCCACCCTTGAAACCCTGTCTGAGGTGGCTCAGCTCTTCTGCAAGACCTGTGCCTGGGCTTCAACGAGGTAACTGGTTGAGGGTCCCATCCACAGAGGGCAGGAGGCCAGAGGATGCGGACTCAGAGGAAACCTGCTCTGGCTTGAGGTGGGGGAAGAGTGAGGAGAGGTAGGCGGGAAGCTCCCTTCTGCACTCCCCCCGGTAGGAGCAAGGCTCCACCCCCGCTCAGATCCTCCCCAAGGCCCATGTCCATGTCAGTAGAATGCATAAGGGATGCCCAAGCCCATTGTGTCCCAAGTGCCTCCTTTGCAAGTGGGTAAAGCTACACCCTGAACCCTGGAAGGCTCCAAAAGGGGTGTGGTCACAGCCTTCAGTGCCTTCAGGGGCAGGAGCCCAGAGGAAGAACAGGTGATGTGCAGACTCTGCAGGAATGAATGGACAGAGTTGGGAGGAGAGGGGAGTTTCTGGGAGATGATAAACTCCCCCTGACACGGAGGTAACTGGTTGAGGGTCCCATCCACAGAGGGCAGGAGGCCAGAGGATGCGGACTCAGAGGAAACCTGCGCAAGCTCACCTGGGACTCCACTGCTCAGGGAGCAAGCAGCCTGACTTGTTCAGCCTGGAATCTTGGCTGGGACCACCGGACAAATAATTTGTACGAGGCACTCAGAAACTAAGGGTTACAACAGAGATCCATAGTGATGTAAATTAATGTGCTCATATTCTTTGAAAATCGGGTGTCTACAGATGTTAACCAGGACACACAACTCACCAGAACCCCCTGACGATGATGTTCTGACCTCAGGGCAGGCACACAAGGCAGGGAGGCGTTGCATTGGGAAACCAGATTTTTTATTTATTTTTTTTTTTGAGACAGAGTCTCACTGTGTCAGCCAGGCTGGAGCGCAATGGCACGATCTCAGCTCCCCGAAACCTCTGCCTCCCAGGTTCAAGCAATTCTCATGACTCAGCCTCCCAAGTGCTGGAATTACAGGCACATGCCACCACACCTGGCTAATTTTTTGTATTTTTAGTAGAGACAGGGTTTTGCCATGTTGGCCAGGATGGTCTTGATCTCCTGACCTCATGATCTGCCCACCTCTACCTCCCAAAGTGCTGGGATTACAGGCATGAGCCACAGAGCCCGGCTGGGAAACCGGATTTTAAACAGACACATAGCAAATTTTCCATAATCATTTAGCATTTTGAAGCAGGGCAAAGCAGCCCTAGGAGAAGTCCCACATAATATCAGATTATCAGGTTCCCATATCGCATTTGTGATATTGAGCTCATTGCGTAGAATCTACAAGTAAACATTGTGTTTGGGCCACTCAGCAACAACGATGGAGCCTGATTCCCATAAGGAACTGGCCTCATTTGAAGGCTGTCCATCCCACCTCTCTCCTCACTCCCCCGCACTCCTTTCCTGCTTCGTAAACCTTCGCCACTGCCATCGACCAAAAAGCAAACAGAGACTTGGAAACCACATGTGCAACATGTACACTGAGATCTGATTGATCGCTATTAGGTAAACCAAAACGTGGCTTACCACCAGGGGAGGCGTGATGTGTGAGTGTGTGTGTATGCACGTGTGAGCGTGTGTGTGTGTTGGTGATGACATAGGCATGGTCCCTTATCCTGTATCTGAGAAGATGCATGGTTTGTAGAAACAGGCACATCTGTTAATTGCAGGATGAATGGCTCCAGCCACTGTGAGCCCATCACCCTCTGATCACCCTCTGATCATACCTCACAAAGGAGACCTTGAGGAAAGAGTGAGTTTACTGACCTCTCATTAATTCAGCCCCAGCAGGAAACAATGAAATCTAACTTTTCTAGATATCATGGGTTATCCCTGTAATCACTCAAACTTACAAATGAGCTTTTCATTGGAAATATTTTGATCCTTAACTAAAGTATTCAAAGCACAATTTAATTTTCCTTCGGACTCTGGGTCCTCGCTGTGGAAGATGGGCCATTGCTTGGGGTTGCCATCAGGATGACACCAGCAGGGCGCCCAGTTGGCACCTACAGAAAAGGCTATAGGTCACCACATCTTGCAGCCTCGCATCTACTCGTAATGGTCCGTTGTAACCGTGTGGATGAAACGATTCACAGCGGCACACGGGGATCAATTACAGCAAAATGGCCGAGGTGAACATCATCCTAATCAGTTGAACTGCTCCAGCTCAGCTGACACATAATCAATCGCGTCGTAATCCATCTAGTTAAAAGTTTGCAGAAGCGAGGAGAGAGGGCTGGAGCCGCATCCAGGAGGGCAGGAGTTTGCACCCGTCTCTTAACCCTGGGCAGCTGCAGATCTCTGTTGTGGGGCCAATGTTATTATATCTGCAAGCCCTGGCTGAGTGTACAGACGACAGCCCTCTTGGAGTTACTGGCTGGCTCCCACCCCACCATATTCCACGTGGGACTTGAAGTGGCAGCCACTTGTTGCCATGTGTCCAGGGCCCTTACCCACCAGGCGGCCCTTTGAGCTCCACTGGCTGCACTGGAAAACCAGATTTTAAACAGACAGCTGTGTGTAAGTGTTTGCAGCTGGCAGGCCATGCTTATCTGCGGAAATGCTGGCATTGGCACTGTTCTGTTTCTGCGGCTGTCTCCGGGACCTGGAGAGTTGACTTAGTCCTCCCAGCTGCTGATGCCCCTTTAGGGATCGAGACTACACCAAGAGCCAGGAGCTGCAAAGCTGAGGCCCAAACCCTGGCTCTTGGTGACTGTCACCCTGGAGGGCCCAGTAAGCCATGAGAATAAAGACAGGTCATTGCTACTAATAACAGTAAAAGCACAAAAGGTGGCAGGCTTCTTGTGTTTGTGAATTAGAGTGGATTGTAAACATCACATGAGGAGACCTTGAGTTGTGTTTTCACATAGATCGCGTCATTTGCAATCCCATGAGGTAGCTTCTGATAATCCCTCCCTTTTACAGATGAAGAAACTGAGGCCTTGGGTGCCTACAGACCACACTGATGTATCCGAGAGCTCTGGGGCCTCGGCTTCCCACCACATTGCCGCCTGCCTCCCTGTAAGCCGCCTCCCCCGGCCTCCTTCCCTTGCCGTGTGTGTGCTTGCTTGCCTGCATCCTTGTGCCAGCCAGGTCTGTAACCTGCAGCTTCACTCATCAGGGTTGCCCACCAGAAAAGATCTTTCAGTGTCTGATTTTGTTATCTGCTTACAAAATGCTTTCATGATGATCACATCAAAAATTAGCTGACTTAATTTTCCTCCAAGAATTTCCTTTCTTACACAGCCCAACATTAGCTGCCCCCATATCCACAACATGCTGGGGCCAATCCCAAAGGCCCGGGCCAGTTAGGAATGGCATTTGGCTGTCAGGAGCAGACTGTGGCTTAAACAAGACAGAATTTTATTTCTCTCCAGTGGGAAAGAAGGCAGAGCTGGGGTGGAAGCTCCCCGTATCCTTGGGGACAGTAGATTTTTCTCGTCTGCCTTTCTGTGACAAACACATCCCTACTCCAGCCCGAAAGAAGTGGGAGAGAAGAAACGGGCGGAAAGGACACACACTGCTTCCAAAGGAGTGGTGTGTGCTGGTCCCATCCAACAAAGCAAAACATAATCAAAACCAGAAACCACGCGAGGCCTCTTTTGGTGATGGATGTTCTGGTGGTCTTGGATTGATGACTTCAACAAGCTGGGGTTCCAGCACGATTCAGCCAAAATCTCCAGTCCTAGGCCTATGGAGCAAAAGGAGGTGAAGATGAGTAGTTGGGAGACTGAGAGGAAAAGGAGAAATGTGGCTGCTGTGGTGACCCTGACAGTGGGGACTGCAGGAAGCAGCTGTGACTCCTGGAGCCAGGGGAGCTCGGAGGAGGGCTGGCGCTGTACCTCTGAATCCAGCATGCTGAGGCTGGGAGGCAGAGAGAGGCCTTGGCATAGCCAGGGCCGTGGTGGTGGCCATGCCCATCCTCTGCTGCCAGAGCAGTCAGGCTCTCCAGGGCACCTCTTTGTGTACCCACAGCCAACAGCTCTGGGCAGTTAGTGGGAAATTAAAGCAACCAGTAAAGTCAGAAGCACTGAGGCATCAGACACACACACGGGCAGTATTCCCCCAGTCGCTAGCTAAAGACACTGACCTTTTTTGGTGATGGATGTTCTGGTGGTCTTGGGTTGGTGGGCTTCAACAAGTGGTGTTTGGAGCTTAGCACGATTCAGCCAAGATCTCCAGTCCTGCAGCCTGGGCCCGTGACTTGGTAAACACGAACACATCTGAGACCCCTTGAGGGACTGGATGTAAGTGTGAGTCTGAGTTCCAAATATTTTATTAAGCGTGTCAGCGAAGTGAATGCTGTCTGTCTGTAGGAGAGGGAGGATCTGAGTCCAGTGGGTCTCTCCTGGGAGAGAGAGGATCTGAGGCCAGTGGGTCTCTCCTGGGAGAGGGAGGATGTGAGGCCAGTGGGGTCTCTCCTGGGAGAGGGAGGATGTGAGGCCAGTGGGTCTCTCCTGGGAGAGGGAGGATCTGAGTCCAGTGGGTCCCTCCTGGGAGA